AAACAACATTTACTATGTTGTTCCAGGAACAACACCAGCATGACGATATCAGATCATCCAGTCAAAGCTATTCAATGGTCACTAAAAATATCTGACAGATTTAGTCAGCCACTCTGTGGAATCTGAAGCTAAATTCCTTTTTGTCACATGAATGGAGGTCATCCAACAGGCAAGGCTTGGTGTGCAGACACTCCTTATTTTTTGAGCGTGACAGGAGGTTCATATTCTCTGGTCCAATTAAACGTTGAACACAAAAGTGTGCTGTGTGTAACACTGTGTGAAAATGGTCTCTGAGAACAGACTGGACATTAAGATGCACACTGAAATAGCAGTAGAGTTCCCAAACAAAGTAAAGTGAAGTAAGACTTAACAAACAAACAGTAATTGTTAGAAATGAGTCTGAACTGTGATATTGTAGAGTGACATAAAACTTCCACATTAAAACTAAAATGAAATAAATAAAACCTACGACGCCACAATAGAACAAAACATAGCAAATGTTTAAACTGAGAAAATGTACCATACCAAGACAAATATTGGCTCATTTTAAGTTTGATGACACGAACAAGCCTCAGAAAAGTAGGGACAGGGCCGTGTTTACCACTGTGTAGCATCCCATCCTCCTTTAACAACAGTCTGTAAATGTGTGGGACTGAGAAAATATGATATAAATATGATATAGGATTCTAGCTGCTCAAGAGTCCTCGGTCTTCGTTGTTGCATTTATTGTTTCATGATGCTCCAAACCTTTTTAAGGAGATAAAGGGTCTGGACTGCATGCATGTCGGTTCAGAACTCAGACTTCTACTCTAGTCGTGCTGGTGTAGCTTATGTGTAAGTTTGATGAGGAAGATCTGGAGTCTACATCTGTCTGCTTTCCCACGTGTTGACAACTAATCTAAGCTTTAAGTCACTTTCACTTTCCAACGCTGTCAAGCTAATTGTGACATCACCGATCTAGTCCAATCATGTTTCTGCCAGCCTTCTTCAGCCCAATCAGCCTTCACTCCGTCTACTTTAAATATCACTTTGACATGACATCTGACATTCTCCCTTGCAGATGCCTTCATGCAACCCAGCTCCTCTTCGTCACTGCCTCTCCCTCATCACTCATGCTTCGTCCAAGCCTCCATAAAAATCCCTTCATGCTCTAAAACCTGTATATACCTTTCCACATTAATAGTGCCTTTCGACATGTGTAAACTGCCAGTTCTAATTCTCTGAAAGATTTGATATTATGATATACTCTAGATGGCGAGATATCTGATTTGGCCAACAACTTTGTGATGGTCTCCACCTGTAGCTGTTATAAATAATCTGTATATGTACAGTTATATACTGTATAATGTTAAAACCATATAGCCAGTGCCTCACACAGGAAACCAGGCACGCACCCTCAGCATT